TCGATGAGTACATTGCCGACGACCTTCAAGAGTTCCGCGTTCTTCGCTGTCCGCGATGCGGTGGACTTGGTGGCGGCGGTGAGCTTCCGAACGGAGGCATCGACGGCGACGTGAGAAGACAACAGAGTGTCTTGTGACTGTGAGAGTGTTGCAAACTGCTTCTCGAGCGATGCATTGGTGGTCGCCAGAGTCGCGTTGGAGGATGTGAGCGTCGCATTGGAGGTTGTGAGCGCCGCGTTGGAGGTTGTGAGCGTCGCGACGAGGATCTTATAGCTTTGGATCTCCTGCGCGTGCTGAGCGTCGCGCTGCTCCTGTTCTTTGGCCGAGGCGTCCTGCGCCTGTGCCAGGTTGTTGCGCTCCTCCTTGATCTCGTTGACGTGCCCACGAAGGAACGCCACCTTCTCCTCGAGGTGTTGGCATTGCGCGGAAGAAGCCCGGAAAGATTGCGTCATAGATGCGAGCGAGCGCGTCGTCAATGCACTCCTTTTCCGCGAAGAGTCTAAGTTGTTCTTCGTGATCGTGTGTGCACGTCGCTCCCAGCGATAGCGACGGTCAGAGGACTGAGCGAGCTTCGACTGGTGCACCTTGGCCTGGATCGTGGAGGAGAGTTGCCGCTTGAGGGCAAGTTGCACTCCGGCGGAGGCGGCGGTAGCGGAGGTGAAGGTGTTTCCGGCGACGACGTATACTGCGGCAAGTGCGCTTGTGATGATGCAAGGAAGCCATATGGACGCCGTATAGTAGACCTGAGGGATTCGTCAGAACACCGAGATGCAACGAGAAGGTCAGGAGAATACGTACACTCAAAGCTACACCAACGACTGAACCCGATGCAATGAGAAGCGAAGAGATGCTCTGCGTGTAGCATGAGCGGACTGGCGGTGAGTAGAGGCAAATAAACGTACCAAGGTACGGCCAAAGTCGAGTGCCTTGCTCATGAGCTGGGAGGCATGACGGCGCAATCCATAGGTGATCGTACAGAGTGCACCCAGAATAGCGACGGAAAGCCAGAGCAATGTGATGTTCTTGACACTGGTGAACGCAATTGTGTAGCGTGCGATCAACGTCGAGTAAGTGACCGCCGTGCTGATAATTGGGGTTGGAACGACGGCCGGGCCGGGCGTAGAGGTAGCAGGCGAGGCGACAATGCCGGGGATAAGCGGCACCTGAGTAGATCCGTAGACAGGTCCATCAGAGATGAGCGCAGAAGCCGAGCGATGTACGGGAGCAGAGGACGATGCGACGAGGAGGCCAGGGATGATAGGAACCGGGCTAGTGCTGTAGACGTATTCGTCGAAGACGACCGCGGTAGTAGTCCAGTGCACGGGAGCGGCGGGAGACGCGACGAGGAGACCGGGGAGGATCGGGGCCGGGAGGTAGCCATAATCGAAGCCATCGTAGATGACCGCCGTCTCGGTCCACGGAAGAGTGCGGAGGTAGTCCTCGAACGCTGCGGCCGCCAGGGCGCGCAGGTCAGGCTCGGGCGTCGGAGCGAGGAGACGAAGGGAGGCCTCGAAGCCTAATGTGATTGGCAAAGCCACTTGGAGCGGCAGCTGGGCTAGGAGCCAAGCGAACAACATGATGATAACAGAGGGTTCAACTGCAGGTACTCGCTGAGTGGGGCAAGAAGTGTTTAGATGGAGATCACTCACCGGCGAGTGCGTGATTATATGTCTACATCTGAGACCTTCAATCAACAACATGAAACCGATAAACGAAAGCAATGGCTGGCAGGGACTTGGTCGCGAATGCGGGGAATGCAATCCAACTCTCGTTGACATGCATTCACTCCGGATCGTCCCCCCTCCTGCCATGCAGCTATGTCTGATTTAGTTGTCGGTATTGCCCTTGACATCCAGGTCGTCGTGTTAACCAGGTAGGATAAATAGAACATCATATATTCGAACTAGAGCGCTGGACTGCGTCAGCTGAAACCTAGCTTGTGGATGATATCTTACGCACTGCAGCGCCCGTTACAAGCTAAGCTATCCCGCTCGTTGACCGATGTCGACCATGAGCATCGAAGACGGTCGCGGAGAGAGAGCCTGGCTTGAGTCCAACTTGAGTCTCGCAGAACCTGTG